TTCTAAGCATAATTTAGATGGATGTATAGTATTCTACTAATACCAATTACTATAATCTGTGTAATCATATTTTAATATTTCTGGACATGTAGGTGGTTGATGCCTTCTTAAAAATAAAGCTGTGATGATCATCTTCATATGTAAAGACTTTTCTTCATTTAGAAAAGTAAGTCAGCAGTAAGAATGCTTTTTCAGCTTTTGATCAAATTGACAAATTACTTTTGAACAAAGACTGTCCCACTTTATGGTCTCAGTAGCAAAAAGGAGCCTGTTTCTTTCATTGCACCCTTGCCAGGACCGAGTATCGCCTCAAATTTATTTTTTATAAAATGGGAGATAGAAATAATCTTTATTTTAATTTTCATTGTTTTTATTTCTATTATTTCTCACTTAGTAATTCTGTTGTCTCTTCTCAAAAAACAATACTTTTAGAAATTTGTGAGACTTGGATTTACATATACTCTATGACTTGAGCCATGTCACCTAACAGATGACCATCAGAGTAACTGAGGGTTGGAGAGGAAATTTGAGGGAAGTTGTAGGTTGCAACAAAAATGAGAAAAGAGCTCTTCAATGTAATAATAAATGTGGATGCCTACTACATGCTGAGCATATTGGGAGATGTTAGAGATCTACAGATGAAAAATGCACAAAACTGTCATTTTGAAGCTAATAGTCTAATGATCATGCCGAAGAGAGAACTGAATGTCTGAATCGAAATCATTTTAGAGGAAAATTACAGAGGAACTTTCATTATATTTGGTTTGACTGGATAGGGGAAAAACTAGTCCACAATCTGCCCCCCAATCCTAGTTGATTAGAAAAAGTGGATTTTCCGTTTCCATTTAGTTTAGCATTGGAAGAAATTAGATAATGTTGGTGGTTTAGAGCTGGGTATAGCTGAAGCTCCAGTGATAACAAAAAGGGTAGACGGCAATGTGATATTTTAATAGGAAAGCATGAGCATAGGCGTCAGGCAGTTCTGGTTTCAAGGTGAAATTTAACCACTTCTAGCTTATGGCCTTGGGCAAGTTAATTTCTCTAGTCTCCAGTTTTCTTATCTGTGAAATGAAAATTATAATACCTTCCTGCCAAGGTTGTTATGAGACTTTAAATAAGATAGTATGTGGAAAAGACTGGCAAATTATGTCACAAAATAACGAATAAAAGCCATTAAGAAAAACGGTTAATTTTTTGAATCAAAGACAAAATATTCTTCCTAAGATTATGGACTGCCAGGAAACTGGCTAGCCACATGCAGAAAGCTGAAACTGGATCCCTTCCTTACACCTTATACAAAAATTAACTCCAGATGGATTAAAGGTTTACACATAAGACCTAACACCATAGAAAACCCTAGAAGAAAACCTAGGCAATACCATTCAGGAAATAGGCATAGGCAAGGATTTCATGACTAAAATATCAAAAGCAATGGCAACGAAAACCAAAATAGACAAATGAGATCTAATTAAACTAAGAGCTTCTGAACAGAAAAAAAAAAAAAAAAAAAAAAACCTATCATTAGAGTGAACTGACAACCAACAGAATGGGAAAAATTTTTTCCAATCTGCCCATCTGACAAAGGGCTAATATCTAGAATCTAAAAAGAACTTAAACAAATTTACAAGAAAAAAAAACCCATCAAAAAGTGGGCAAAGGATACGAACAGACACTTCTCAAAAGAAGATATTTATGCAGCCAACAAACCTATGAACAAAAGCCCATCATCACTGGCCATTAGAGAAATGCAAATCAAAACCACATTGAGATATTATCTAACGCTAGTTAGAATGGTGATCATTGAAAAAACCAGGAGACAATAGATACTGGAGAGGATGGGTCAAGAAATAAGAACACTTTTTTTTTTGAGACGGAGTTTTGCTCTTGTTACCCAGGCTGGAGTGCAATGGCACGACCTCGGCTCATGGCAACCTCCGCCTCCTGGGTTCAGGCAATTCTCCTGCCTCGGTCTCCAGAGTAGCTGGGATTACAGGCACACACCACCATGACCAGCTAATTTTTTTTAATATATTTTTAGTAGAGACGGGGTTTCACCATGTTGACCAGGATGGTCTCGATCTCTTGACCTCGTGATCCACCCGCCTCGGCCTCCCAAAGTGCTGGGATTACAGGCTTGAGCCACCATGCCCAGCCAGGAACACTTTTACACTGTTGGTGGGAGTGTAAATTAGTTCAACCATTGTGGAAGACAGTGTGGTGATTCCTCAAGGATCTAGAACTAGAAATATCATTTGACCCAGCAATCCCATTACTGGGTGTATACCCAAAGGATTATAAAACATTCAACCAAACACATGCACATGTATGTTTACTGCGGCACTGTTCACATTAGCAAAGACTTGGAACCAACCCAAATGCCCATCAAAGATAGACTGGATAAAGAAAATGTGGCACATATACACCAGGGAATACTATGATCCATAAAAAAAAGATGATTTCATGTCCTTTGCAGGGACATGGATGAAGCTGGAAACCATCATTTTCAGCAAACTGACACAGAAACAGAAAATCAAACACCATATGTTCTCACTCATAAGTGCGTGTTGAAAACGAGAACACATGGACACAGGGAAGGGAACATCACACACTGGGGCTGATGGGAGGTTTGGGGGCTAGGGGAGGGACAGCATTAGGAGAAATACCTAATGTATATGTATACCACCACCACTAGGGGGTGGGGGAATTGGGGAGGGCTAACATTAGGAGAAATACCTAATGTATATGATGAGGGGATGGATGTAACAAACCACTATGGCACGTATATACCTACATATCAAACCTGAACATTCTGCACATCAGGAGACAACAGATGCTGGAGAGGATGAGCTTAAAATATAATATCCCAGAACGTAAAGTATAATAAAAAAATAGATCAATGCCATATTTAGTATAAGAAAATAGACCTAAATCCAGAGTCTAAAAAAATGGGGGAAAGGCTGCAGAAGACAGAAACAATGAAGAAGGTAAGAAGTAGAAACAGAATTAAAAAGGGTCGACTAAGGAGAAATTACCCAACTTTTTCAAGAATGAAACATGTAAAAAGGCCACTTAGACGTTATATGCTGGGCAATGCTGAGATATAACCCTACCTTTTTCTCCTAAACTACCACAAAATTGACAACTTCAAAAAATATTCTATGTATGTAGTCTACTGTAAGTTAACTAAAAGGTACACATAGATTGAAGGTGATTAGAAGATCTCTTTTTCCACAGTCAGGACCAGTTCACTGAAAAATGTGTTTTATTGAGTAATTATAAAAGTGATGCATACATACCTAAGATATTAGTAGCTACAAATCTTTGGATTTGAATCCATGTCTTCTCTTCAGATTAAGTCTCTCAAGTTGACTTCCTTGTCATCTCTCTTACATAAACAATACTGGTAATGCAGCATTAATTTCCATTCTGGTTTCCTCAAAGAGCTTACAGAAAGTTGAAATCCAAGCATTGTTTTAAACGCTAGAAGCATATATTTTTTTAAATCCAGGTTCATATTTTCTTTGCCAATGAAAGTTTCCTATACATTTAATAAATTTCTTATTTATTTGCGTCTAGTCATTTACTTGTGCCAATAATGATATCATAAGTACTCTGAGAAACTTTGCTTTTAGATATAATTTACTTCTTTTTTTCTTGCCCCCCACGTGTCTCTCTCTCTCAGTTTAATGGTAGACACTTTAATATTATCTGGAACAATGAATGTGGTGGCCACACATTAATGTGATTTTTATCCTGAGTCATTTTATCTATTGGCAGGCTTTGCTCGTTGCTCCCTTTAGATCCTTTGGCTTTCCCAATTCTGCAAGGTTATGAGTTTCTAGAACCTCTATATTCCCTTTTATTGTGCTTTGAAGGTAATCCTATCTTTCTTGAACAAATCGTATTTTTAAAAATATTGTCATAGGCCTCCGCCTACCTAGAGGAGAACTGGGCCCTGGGAGGAAGAAGGATGAAGAAGAAGAAAGACCATATGATAGGCCACAAAGTAAGTCTCAGCAAATTTAAGAAAATCAAAATTATATCAAGTACTCTCTCCGACCACAGTGGAATGAAATTGGAAATCAAATCCTCTTCAAAGGAGGCAATCAGATATGCATTTATCTCAGTGAGCAGAGGGGTGACTTTGAATAGAACGGGAGGCAGGTTGGCCATAAACAGTTCCTAGCTTGACTTTTCCATTTAGTTTAGTGATTTGGGAGCCCCATGATTTATTTTCCTTTCACAGTATATGCATCTATCTGGGTGTGTTCTCTCTGAGGAGGAGAGGAGAGAAGAGAAGACCTCGTAGAATTGAGTGCTCCTGGTTTGAGTTCTTATAGGCTGCTCTGGATCTTGGATACGGATTTGTCTGACAGCAATGCTTGCATTGTTAAGAGTGTATGTGTTAACTGCCTTAGTACTTGTGGGCACACAAAATTTCATTCTTTAAGGGCTGTATCTCTTCCCATACAGCATTTTCCACCATGAAAAGCAAAGCAACAGGTTACTTTTTAACAAAAAGATGATAGTTAATAAGGCTTGCATTTATTTGAATGTTTCCTGAATAGTGTCTGCTCAGCTCCCTGAAGAAAGTAGGATAAAAAAAAAAAGGTATACTGTTTAATAAAATATGCAAGGATTTAAAACATTAAAATTGCTATTATCAGTATTACCATTATCAGTAGGGAAGTTGTATACCTAATTCTCCACACATTATGGAAAAAAATTAAAGCATTATGTGTAATACAATGTCAAAGACAGTGTTAATAAAAAAAAATTAACTACAGGAAATTGAAAAAGTGAAAGAATGGAATTCTACAAGAACAGATTTGAAAGACAGTAGCAAGCAATCAAATATTGTCAGCTTCTGGAATTAATACAGAGTTCTCTACTGTAGAGATCTGAAAATTTTCATTCACAGAAATTCTACCTATGGTCATTTGCATTTTCATGAGTGACATGTAAAATGACCAGTTTTTAAAATGGAATTTTGTCTTTAGCTTGATGACAAATCAACAAGTAAGAGATGTCCAAAAACGTATTCATGCAAATGATCACAACTTGCCAGACACTTTACTGGGCCAATGAGAAATACAAGAACAAAATGACCAGGATTCCTGCTCAGCTGGATGAGTGAAGGAAGTAAGTAAAGAGGTTCTATGTTTATACAGTGAGTCCTTGTCTCTCAGTCTGTCTCATATTACTTGCATAATGAAATTTTAGTTGAATGATGACTATGAGGTTGATAGGTCCAAGTATTTTTTGAAACACCAAGGAGTAGGTAATATCTGAGCTAAATATTGAAGGAAAAATGAGGGCATTTCCAAGTGGAGAAATATTTATCTAACTGGGATGAAAGAAGAGAAAGATTGCTTTCTCCACTGAAAATTTAAGCCAACACATGAGTTATGGATACGTAAATCCTGAGAAGTTCTGAGTGCTTGCAATGAGGGTGGAGATCAGACGTGGAGGTAGATTGAGACGTATTACGGAAGATATCTATTCCAGAATGAAAAGCTTGCATTTTCTTCAACAGAAGAACCTGATGCTTCAGGGGATTTTTTGCAGGGATGTACTTGATGCAGGTTTGTTTCTTTTTCTTTTTTTTTTTTTTTTTTTTTTGCAGGTTTTTTTCTATCAGGAGGAGAGCTCATGTGGCAGCCTGGAGGATAAATTGGGAGAAGGGTACCACATCCTAGGCCCTGTGTTTGTAGCCATACCAAGAAGGAAAAGACACTGTCATTGCCTTTCTAGGTACTTACAGCGTAGTAGAAGAAGCAGGTAAAATCAGAGGACAAAAAAAAATTGTGTATAACAAGTGTTATGATAAAGGTATGCACAGTGGTGCTTTGGAACTACAGATGAGAAACACCTACCTTCTTCTTTTTTGTTGTTGTTAAAATCATTTTTTTTACTATAGGTTCTGGGGTACATGTGCAGATCATGCAGGATTGTTGCGTAGGTACATATATGGCAAGGTGGTTTGCTGCCTCCGTCTCCCCATCACCTATACCTGGCATTTCTCCCCACTTTATCCCTCCCCACCCCTCCCGTCCCTCCGCTAGCCTCCCGCAACAGACCCCAGTGTGTGATGCTTCCCTCCTTGTATCCATGTGTTCTCGTTGTTCCACACCCACCTATGAGTGAGAACATGCATTGGAGGAACACCTACCTTATAATGGAGAAGTTGCAGAGGGCTTCCAGGAGAAAATGTCAACTAAACTGCATCTTGGAACTTAAATAAAGCCATATATGACGGACTTGACTTTATACTCCAGCCACATCACGGGTTTAAGAGATCATAACTGAATTGTATTCAACTGCATGTATTTTTTGGAATATAGCAGGGTATAAATACAAGAATAATTAATTTAATACATCAATAACATCACAAGAACAGTATTTAATCTTGTTAAACACAGAAATGCTTAATTGTTAGTCATGCACAGAAAGTGCTTATCAAGGTCTGGACACCAAAGAAACTTCAAGAGAATTGACAGAAGTGCCTGAACTGTGGCAGGTGGAATTCCCACAATGGGAAAATGGTTAGAATGGGTGATATATCTCTAAGCCCCTTTGAGTGCTGATACCTTCCAACTCAAGAAGCTTTTAGCTTAATTGTTGAAGCAGATTTTTCATGCCAGAAAAAAAATAAAGGACTAAAGCAAGACTCAAAAACAGCAGGAATAGGTGGGTTGGTACGAACTTAAACTTCCATGGGGTTCTGAGAAACAAACCTAGAAAGGTAAGCCAAAGGGTTTTGGGCAGAGAGAACAGTCTGTACTGAAGATAATGACACAAGCAAAAGCATGGTTTCTCTTTTTCTCCTCCTTTTATTCCTTCTTTCCTTCCAATTGATATTCGCTGAGCTTAGACATTTTTTTAAAAAATCGAAACATAATTTCTTCCCTGGAAGTGCTTGCAGTTGAGTGAAAGAACACCAAAGGGAAACCTTCCTTCCCCTCTTAAGTCTTATTCTACCTTCTGGAGGCAGAAATAGGGGTCGATCAGGGAATACATCCCAAAAGATGTAATGCCCAAGCTAAATCCTGAAGGAGCTTAGAAAGTATTCCAGACAGAAAAATAGCTTATGCCAAAGCAGGATCCAGAGTGTGGTGTCTTCAAGAAACTGCAAGGATTTGCCTATAGCAGAAACTTGGAATGTGTTGGAGAGGGATGAGGGGTAACATCAGAGGGGCATTCTAATGATATCTCCCAAGACAGGGGACTGACCTGGCTTGTATGAGGGAACAGTAGGAAATCAGGTTGAATAGGTCATTTAAGGTCATGCTAGCTAGAGGACAGCAGATGGACTTTACATAAAAACGGTTCCTGATTGTCCTTCAGAACTGTGTTTGCTAAGCAGTTTTGCACACTTGAAAGCAATCTGGGTACATTTAAGCCTTCCAACTATAGTTTGTGTTACCTGTAATTATTATTAATTAAGGCAGAGGCTCGTGTATATGAAAGGAGTCTGAAAATCTACAGGGTTCGTTTTTGTATTTGTCAACTTTTATTTGAAAACAGCAGGTGAAATTCTGATTTGAGCAACGTTTAGCCTCAAACTATCATGCAGATTGTTTTGGTAACTATGTAATTGCAAAAGACTGCTTTGGTCGAAGCTCCTGAACACTTTTTATTGCTAATTTTGGCAATAAACCTGTTAATTAGTTAATTGTAAAACATTAGTGAATCAAGCAAAAAGAATCCATCTGTTTATAAAATTTCAAAGATCTCTTCTGGGCATAACATTGAAAAACAAGAGCTGGCCTGCACTATATTGCCTACTAACTGCAAACCATTGCTTTTGAATATTTGCACAGTCTCCTCCTAGGGCTAAAAGGTGATATTTTAATGCAATCATTTGCTGTACTTTAAGGTAATTTTGTAGGCTCATGGTGCTGCATACAATTGGTTTGGGGACTGCTGGAAACTGGAAAATTGGTAAGAGATATACAAATTTTTCATCTATTTCCCAAGCTGAAACAAGAAATAATTAGCCAAGCAGAAAGGAAGCAGGAAGGTATTCAACATAGAGAAAAAACTATTTTAAAAGAAAGGAGAAAAAATGTCAAAGAACTGTACAAATTCCTAAGCAAATAGTACATACATCTAGGAGAAGAACAAGAGAGAAGACAGGTGAGCCTGATAGGAACCAGACTGTGAAAAAGTGAAATTTCCATACAAAAACTAGTCGGGTGTGGTGTTAGGCGCTGGTATTTCCAGCTACTCAGGAGGCTGAGGCAGGAGAATTGCTTGAACCTGGGAGGTGGAGGTTGCAGTGAGCCAAGATAGTGCCATGGCACTCCAGCCTAGGCAACAGAGTGAGACTCCATCTCTAAATTAATTAACTAATTATAGATTAGACTTCTGAACAGGAGCATCCAAGGGTTGAAAACCTTTCAACATCCCACCTCTTATTCATGCTTTCCCTTTCTGTGGACCTTTTTGTGTCTTCATGCCACCACTCGTGTCAACACCATGGGGGACTGAGTCATCATTAACTCCCACGCTCATATCTCTGACTTTACTAATGCAGACCTACATACAAGTTGTGGGTCAAAATTATATTTATTTTGTGATTTTAAGGTCTTGTTTGCTTTCATATTCCTACTGGGGTTCCTAATGGGCAATTACTAAGAACTGTGATCCGTTCACAAAGTTCTCACTTAACTACTCAGGAAAACTTAAGAAAGAAGAGGTACCATGATGTGATGAGTTGGAAAGAGCACTCAGTAGGGAGTCAGGAAATCTAGCCTCTAACAAGTATTGAGAGCCATGTAGCTTTTACTTTTATTTAATGTCTTTAAGTCCTAGTAGCTTCAACTATGAAAGCAGAAGAGTCGGGCCAGATATCATTTTAGGTTCCTTCCAGTTGAAGTATTCTGGATTTTATTTCCCAGGTTGCTTTGCGGGCATCATTTGCTTCCAGCCCAGGCAAGCAGAGGCCAATGCTATTATGACTTGACAGCTGGAGCAATAGACAAAGAATTAAAGCTTCCCTAAGTGATCTTGATCCTCCTTTTTTTGTAAATAAATGAAAAGACTTCATTTTCCAAAGCAAATCCTAAGTCGCAGATGTCATTTTTTCCTTCATGGGAAGGTTAAAAAAATAGCATTTAAAAATATATCAGCATGTAACATTTCATTTGTTTCCATACTGTCTGATTTAAGGATAAAGATCTTATTTCAATACTGAAAGCAAAACCTTCTAAATTCATCTAGCTTACAGGATCATTTACATATCCAATGAAACATTTATTTTATCTGACCAGAAATGAAGATGATACAACATTCTTGGCTGAGATTAAAAATATATAAGAATGGAATATTGATGGCAATACACAATATAGAGAAGAACAGCCCAGATGAAGCACTGTGGATGCTGATAAGAATGAAATGCTTCCTAGCTAAAGTGAAATGATAACCTCAAAAGATATAGATTAATGACAGTAGTCTCCAAGATTGAAAAAGGAGAGGCGAGGATAAAAGAGGAATAAATTTAAGCATTTCAACAAAGGATGGAGAAATTTAAAGGATAATGTTAATTGAATTATGTGTTGTAACCAGATAATACTCTATTATTCAAAGATGAAAGCCACAGTCATATCAAATCATCTAGTGGAAAGACGTCAACTTGAATCCACAAGGGTTATTTTTAAAGTGGCAGAGTCTAATATAAATCTGAATTTCAGAAGCACAATTCTAGTTTAATCTCCTTAATTTATAATGGTGATAAACTTAGTTTGATTGCTCAGGAACATGTATCTAGATTTATGGCAACATTGGGAAAACTGATTGCATTGTTGCTTTTCATCCAGAATTCATTGAGTCACTCTCTCTCTTCATATATATTTGGGATTATAAACTCAGAGGGAAATTCTCTCTCCCCATGAGAAAAAGAGAGAGAGCGTCAGAGACAGACAGAGATAATTCTCCTCTGTGTCTACAATCCCAAATGGCTCAAAAGATTCAAACAGCTCTGTTTTACTTGGCCTTCATTCATTCAATAAATGGTTCCTGAATACTTTCTGTGTGAGAAGCACTGTGCTAAAGTGCAGAGACGAGGATAAATCAATATGCTTTTTGAGGACATGAGCTATACCACCTTTACCTTTCCATGCCTAGCAAGAGTGCACAGCTTAATGCATGTACTTGGTAAATGTCTGTTAAAATCAACTAAACATTGTAGGGAAATAGACATACATGAAAATATTAACCGTTAGTTAATGAAACCACATACCATCTTACATGTCTAGAATCATTAACCCTAAAAGTCAGAAGAAATCTTACGTATCAGTTAATCTGTAGTTTCCTAACTTTGGTCCATGGAATAGAAGTAAGGGTGTTACTAAAACCAAAGGGAATGGGAGATTCCTTGGTCAGATAAGTTTGGAGAAACCAAAATTAAACACATTTTCTTGCTTCTCAGAGACTTTGATGCGCTAATCATTTGTGTTTCTCTCAAAATGAAATACAGTAAATACATTTTCAGCTTTGTTTATCGAGAAGGTACTTTTATTGAGTCCTATCTTTTGAAACTCATTTTCTGGGAAAAACTCAACTGCTACCTTTTTTCTTCCTGTATCTCTGAATTCCAACTGTCCTTCATCCAGTGTAAGAGAACTAGATAAGTCTGCTTCAATAATCCTATGGATAAGTGAATCATTTGGGGGCAAACTAGTTCTATCATTGGATAGCCTTAATTGTTAGAGTTCTTTGGAATTCTGAGCTAAAATTTGCCTCACAGTCCACTAGAACAGGTATTGCCAAACTATGGTCTCTGGATAAAATCTGGCCTGTTCCCTATTTTTGTTTGGCTTTCA